CAATATTCCCATTAGTCCAAGATTCAGGCCAGCAGCCCAAGCTGAGTTCCAGTAGTCCAAGGGTTTGAGGAGTTCTGACCCAATTTTTAATTTTTCCATTAGTCCAAAATTCAGGCCAGCAGCCCAAGCTAAGTTCCAGTAGTCCAAGGGTTTGAGGAGTTCTGACCTAATTTTCAATATTCCCATTAGTCCAAGATTCGGGCCAGCAGCCGAAGCTAAGTTCCAGTAGTCCCAGGGTTTGAGGAGTTCTGACCTAATATTCAATTTTCCCATTAGTCCAGTAATGCTTGACCTATACTATTCGGGATCTACAGGATAGCAAAGGGGCCCAAGAATACTTGACCTACACTATGCGGGATCTGGAGAATAGCACCATGGGCCCAATAATACTTTACCTACACTATTTGGGGCAAGGGACCCAAGAATACTTGACCTATATTATTCCGGATTTTGAGGATAGCAAAGGGGCCCAATAACGCTTGCCCTACCCTCCTGCCCTGGCAAAGCTTCAGCTGGGACTGCAGAGACCGGATGACAGCAGCGGCCTTTGTGCTGAAGGTGTCCACTCGGTGGCCTGCTTGTCCGTAAGCACAGCAATGATGAACTCGCGATGGCATCGTGTTTGAGCTAGAAAATTGTCACTGTGGAAAGCACTAAATTTGCTGCCCCGGCAACGAAACATAAATGACTTGCAGGACTGCTGGACCTGCCACGACTTTTGCACACCTGAATCACGAAAAACACATACCGTCAAATATGCACCGTGCGCGTACTACTACTGCTGCTGCTGCTGCTGCTGCTGCTGCTGGGACTACTACTACTACTACTACTACTGCTACTACTACTACTATGACGCGCGCGTGTCGAATCCGATGGTGGGTCAAAATGCACTCGCCTGTACGCGCCGTTCCTCAAAAGTAACGACCTTTTCTCAGTACGCGAGGCCAATTTTGCCAGGATGGCTGTCCTATGCGAGGCCTCGTCCAGAGGTGTGGAAAAAGTGTCTATTCTGGAAAGTTCTAGCACGAGAGAACATTTTCATAGGCTTTTTTCCGACAACTTAATTCCACTTATTGTTTTGCTGTTGCTGCTGCTGCTCCTCTTGTGAGTAAGTGTGGTTCGGGCGGGTGATGGGATTGTGGAGTTTAGGCAGAGGTCGTTTGGGAGGGCTTCGGGTTGAGGGCTCTGTTCCAAGGTGTGATTTGGGAAGTGTGAGGTATCACGTCTATCTGAACTACCAGAGTTCCAGGGCAAGTAGAGAACATGACCACCGCATGGCTGCAAGGCAGTGGATGCAGAGGTAACATGGATGCCAACGACTTGGTCTTGGTCATCTGGATAGAAGGAAACGGATGCAGTGGTAAGCGACCGCAGCGATAGCATCGCCAGCAGCTCCAGCAACAACAGCATCAGCACCACCACCACAGTGGAGGCTTTCTAGAACGGAGGTGATGGCCTAAGAACAGGATGGCCTGAGGTTTGATTAGCAGGACGGCGCGAGGTCTGATGGGATGATGTGAATTGAGGATGATGTGATAAGGTTGTTGACAGTTTTTGGGTGGCTTTCGTGAGGTATCGGATGTAATGTGCCATTGATGGCATGGCGTGAGGTTGTCATGCGATTGCCGTCTTTTGTGAGGTTTTGATGGGTTTTCGCGAGGGTTAGCTCTGGTGTGGGTTTCGTACAATTTTCGCGACTCGTAAGGTCTCTCGTATAAAGCCGCTGCAAAATTCAGGGTCCATAGCAATAGTAAATAGTAATAGTAAATAGAAAAAGTGGACAGTAAATTGTGATAGTACATGGTACTAGTATATATTCTAGATGGTGAATAGTAATAGTAAATTATGAGAGTCATACTTAATAGTAAGTAGTAATCATACGTAGTCATGGTAGATAGCAATAGTACATAGTAAGTAGTAACGGTAAGCTGTGTCGGTAAATAGTCATCATTAATAGTAGTCTTAGCAGCAACAGGCAACAACAGCATTATTAACAACTAGAGCCGCAGCTGCACTGCAGCTGCAACACCACGTACACAACCAGCAATGAGAACGACGACAGCCACCAACACCAGCATTAGTAGTAATAGTAGTAGCAATAATAAGACTATTAACTATATAATCCAACGACTAGTATTCCTACCACTGTTGTTACGACTGCTGTTCCTACCTTTGCTACTGCTACTACGACTGCTACTCTACCGCTACTAGCCCTGCCCCTCCCAACTTTGTTTGCTTAAACGGCCAATATAAATATGGGGAGGTGGCATCATCAAACAGTAAGAGCCCTGACAACCACATGCTTTCTATGCAAGGTGCCGGTTAGTTCTCCGAAGCCTGCTTTGTGGCCTTATCATTAGAGGCCTGAACTATGGCTCCAAGGACGTGTGGACACACTGTTCTCAAAGACGTCAGGGGTATTGTCCAAGATGCGGGCCAAAACGGCAGTCTTATGAATGTACATTGGCTTGCCTGCTGAAAAAGCCAAGCAAAACTTCACGATCCTGTTTACAATGTTATTTGTTGGCTGAGGTCAGTTCGTACGTAATTATCCCCCTCCCCTCCCTCCACCCCGATTCCAAGAAAAGCGCTCGTCGTGAAAATTTCCGCCCGCGTAGTTGGTAGGCAAAAGCCGTGGTAGTAACAATTCATCCAATGTAGTTAGTAGGCGCGGGCGCCTGTTACAACTGCTGCTGTTGTCATTGCTGCTACTACCACTACTACCACTACTACAACTACAACAACTACAACAATTACTACCATTACTACTAGTAGTAGTAGTAGTAGTAGTAGTACAACAACAACTATTACTGCTACTGCTACTGCTACTGCCACTACCACTACTACTACTACTACTGCTACTGCTACTGCTACTGCTACTACTACTACTACTACTACTGCCACCACGATGACAACGAGGAATAAGACTAAGACATTAACACTGCAACACCGCTTCGCAACGTGACGATGGACGAGTACTAGCGTGAACCGTCGTTTCAGTTGCAACGAGTAAAACTGTACTGCAGAGCTTGTTGTTGATGCGCGCATTGTTGATTTGTTCTGCAATCTTGCCCGGGCTAGAACTCCTTTCCCACGACAATCCCTATGTTCGAGCACGTGCACTTCCTCCACCTCATACTATTGGTTATCATATTGCACAAGCAGTGCAAGTCCAGGCCGCTCCAAGAGCCATCAAAAACCGCCCCTATTCCGCGACCATCTTGCTGAGACGCCTGCGCCAAAACAGGCCAGCATCAGACCGAAAACCTATATTATATATCAAAATGAAAGGAATGCCAAATCCCCTGGCTGTGCATTGCTCGGATTGAGGTCTTACCTGTCTCCCAATGTGAGTATTGCGGAGACTCTGGAATTTGCCACCAAGGCAAGTGTTTTGGTGCTGCTGGGTGTGCTTGATCATGGGAGACGACCTGTGCCAGGTATATCAAGTCAGCATCCTGGCCTCGCAGGACTGCGTCTCCTTGTGTTCCAAGGCAGGATGTTTCCACTCTAAAGAGAGCAGTGTGAAGTCTTTGAAACGCGTTTGTAATGTGACGCTGCCCGACTAATGAGTTCTTGCTCTGTAGGCGCTTGCACGGCAATGCAGACTCATAGACAAGGCGCTGGCTGCTTCGCTCATCCTTAAAGCAAACCCTGGGTGCGTCAGGTGAACATGAAGGGCTCCAAGGTCCCTTTGAGCCTGTATGTGTATGATGTAGACCGGGCCTCGCATTGCATGCATCGACCATTGAAATTCAAATTACCAAGCTATTCCAAGGAAACTGGCCGCGTTCCAGTTCACGACTACAGGCTCGCTGAAGGAAAAAACAGACGTAGAATGCTTCGCGCACCGAATCTCGGAAATAGTTTCTGTGTGAAAGGCTTCCATGTTGCATCTGGAGTCCAGAGTATTGCGAGATTTCGGCTAGATATTGTAACGTGCGATAGCTCCGGGGCCCGCTTGAGCGTGAAGTTTTCGGAGTCAGCCTACCGGAAAGGAGGTTTCGATTTAATTTCAACTGAAGGAACCACGGCCAATTTGCCTTGCTAAGCTTCTTCAATGGATCTTGTGGATCAGATATTAAAGAGGAACGAGACTTGCATGGGAGGCCATACGCCAAAGCAGGTCCAAGTATTTTGCCAACCAGTGAATGCCTCCCGAGAACGCACAGTCCTGTATGCCAGTTCAACACTGGAATGGAGCGTGCGGCAGCGCTTCAAAGCACGCCAGCTCTTCGAGGCGTGGACTATAGACCTCACTTGCTAGATGTAATGCAGCCCGGATATGCCTTGAGGTTGAGAAGACAAAGAAGTGGACGAGCGAGGTCAACATTGCGAACCGGGCCATCTTTGCCCGGCTGCGGCACACAGCACACATTTTTGCACAGAGCAGCAGTGCAACGCCAGGTGGATGACTTCATCAACGACAGTGTGGATGTCAGAGCCATGAGAAAGCTCTACACGACCGAATTCCTCCAGCTCTTCAACATGGGGTGTGCAGTCTGCTCTTGCTTACGCGCGTGCATGTTTGCGTTGGTTCATGTCAACATCGTAGAGGCATTGGGCACACCTATGCCAAAGCATGTCTTGAGTAATGAGGTGTAGACAGCAACAGCTTTTTATGTGAAAAAACAGGGACGAGTGAGTCACAGTCCAGACTTGAGACTCTTCGCTTTGCTCGTCACACTTCCTTGCATTATCCAGAATATGTGGGCAAACGTGATCTACGGTAGCAACATGCATGTAACAACCCAGAGCCGTAGTTGGAAGCCAGCGCAAGGCTTATGGAAAGGATTTCTGCTCCAGCTTGTATTTGTGCGCGCTGGCTTTATGCAGTGCCATAGTTCTTGTGCGCTGTAATGTTGGACCCGCTTTAATATGCCCGACCCCCCCCCCTCCCCCAAACAATTTTTGGATCCTGAATTAAAAATTGTTTGAGGGGTCCCCAGGAATCGTGATAGTATTAGTATTAGTATTAGTATTAGTATTAGTATTAGTATTAGTATTAGTATTAGTATTAGTATTAGTATTAGTACTAGTATTAGTATTAGTATTAGTATTAGTATTAGTATTAGTATT